GTGTCGGAGTCAGAGGGGAGATTGGGTCACGAGACGGCGAGTCGAGGTAAAAATCCCTTCGTCTCACACTTCTTGTCGCTCTTGGGATCGGCCATCAGGTATTAGATCAACAGGTTCTCAGTTTTCATGCCCTCGTCCTTTCCCACGTGACCGCCTCGATGAGCTCCCTTGATTGTGAACAGCATGGACGTAATAAAAGTGAAATAAATGAGAAAGGAAGGGCAAAGCAATCATATGCAAAACTAACAGACCTTCCGTCGGGGAGGTTTGTTGGCATGGGCATGTCTTATCCCTCTTCGCCCACAGTTCCCCATCTGAAAAAACAACAAAGCACAAAACATAGATCAACCTGCCCACTCACGCCGCAGTCGTCCTCTCCGCTAGGCCAGTGTTAAATCCATTCCAGAAAAACTTTAATAAAAAAGTAACTCGAAAGCATGTGCTAGACGAGTAGCTGCACACCCTTGCGCGGAAATTGCGGCATTGAACGATGGCTGCATCCGGAAAGGAGGTGCAGCCAGTTGGACGAAGATTGAGAAAGAACTCAAGAGAACCCCAAGGTCTTTGTCCAAATATGGGAGGGGGAGGAGCACCTTCATTGTTATCGGGGGTCACGGGCTGTGACGGGAAGCCGCTTACGTTGTTTGCTGTTTGCCTGCCTGCTTATCTTCTTAACCCGGGCATTATTTGAGCGGGCCGCTTCGGAAACTCCCACGGGCCCACGCCCATAGATGGAGTGGCCCTGCAAAATGTGTCTGCGTACTCCAAACATATCCCAAAGCTCGCCGAAAGATGGGGTCAACACCTTTCCCCTCACAGCCGAGGGGCGCTTTCTTTGCTCTATGACTCCGAGATGTCAGCGGACGGGGACCGGCGTCGATCTGGGGCAACCTTCGCCTGGGCGCTTGCACGGCTGGAGGCTGGCGTTTGGTATGGGTCTTGGTTGCGCGGGTGTTTCAGTCTGTGGCTTGCGTTTGGTACGGTGTTTGCTTGCTTTTGAGCCGACAGGGGACCTAGCATGACTAAACAGCCGAAAAGGGATCTACCAGGACTAAATGGGCGAAAAGGGACCTACCATGACCTACCTTGAACTTTCGTGCTCAGCCGGGCTTGGGCGTGTTTCACTTGGGTGCTGTCTGCAGGTGCGGGAGCCACTGGTGCTGCACGCAGCTTTGGTGGAGGCAACCAGTTCCCCGCACGAGCTGCCGGGAGAGGCGCGAAAATCTCGCAGCCTCGTCAGGTCCTTTGGGGACTTGGGGCCCTAAATGCGTCTAGTAGTGAGTCTATTTACAAAGCCCAGAGGCAATGGTATTGCCTGGAATTGTTCGGCGAAACGTTCGAAATGTGCAGTTCGGTCACTCGGGTCAACTTTGGGCCTACAGGGAACACGGAGGCCGCGAGTTGTGGGGGGTTCAGAACCAACCAGCTATATAGAGCACATACAAATACCATATAAAGGATGCAAACCACCAGGTGGCGAAGCTGTGGTGGGCTGCTGCTATGATGGGCGCAGAGGGGCCACGGTTGCAGCAGCTGGCCGCAGCCACCCAGCAACTGTCCAGCTTCACGTCTCAGGAGCTGCTGATGACTGCCTGGGGCGCCAGCAGCATTGCGCCAGGGGTCCTTGCATATGTGCAAGAGGAGTGGATCCAACGGCTGCTCACTTTGAGCCTCTCAGACTTGGAGCCTCAGTGCTTGCTGGGCATCCTTTGGGCCTGCAACTTCGTGGGCTGCGTGCGGTTCAAGTTCCTGGCGGCCGTGCGTGGCGCCCTCAGCCGCTGGGGCCGCGCGCGGGACATGGGGGCGGAGGCCTTGCAAGGCTGGAGCAGCGGCGGGGGCTTCTACGGTCCCACGGCCGGTGCCGCCGTGCTGATGGATGCAGTGGACCGAGTGGCGCTGTTCAAACCGCCCGGCTGGGAGGTGGAAGGGCACGAGCACGGCAAGAGCCTCCAAGCCTTCCTTATCAAGTCTCAAGGCATGCGCCCCATTCTGCAAGATGCATCCGCCACCTTCGGCTTCTTGCACCGCCTGGATGTGCCAAGCTCTGGCCTGATCCTGGCCGCACGGACCTATGAGGCCTACTACGACCTCCGCGTGCAGCTGGCGAGCGGCGAGGTCCTTCGAGAGTACAACGCGCTGTGCCACGGCTGGTTCCACGGCGTTCCACGGGAGGTGACGGCGCGGGTGTACTGGCGCGGCGGGGCGCCGAGCAAGAGCTCTGGCCAGGGCAAGCCGAGCCGGAGCCAAGTGCGGCCGGTTGCCTCGGGACACCTCCGGGCTTCCGGCGTCACCATCGCCGCAGTGAGAATTGCCACCGGCCGCAGGCACCAGATTCGTGCTCCTCAGCTGTAGAGACTCGTTTTTTTTGACTTTGCTTTCCCCGTGAGCCTTTTCCGAACTCTATGTGGGGATTGATCAACATTCCTGGCACCCCAAATGACCACGGGTAACTTTTCCCTTGTGCTTGAACTATCGTCTTGGCGGTTTCCAACCAATGGTCCCACGTTTACCGGACCTTTTGATCAACCCCCCCATCCAGTTTAGCGGCCACGGCCATTGCCAGGTGCATTTGGCCCACACCGGGCATCCCACCCTCCACGACGCGCTCTATTCGAGCGCGGCCACCTTCGAGCTCGACGGTGCCTTCCTGTCCCGGAACGCGCTGCATAGGTACCGCCTGAGGTTCCGGGATCTTCGGGGCACTTTGCAGGATCTGAAAGTGCACCCACCGGAGGACTTCTTGAGACATGGCTCGTTTCGGCCCTTTTGGCTTGACCAGGGCTCCCTATATTTCCCATTTTGGTGGTTTTACGCCTTTTGGGCCAGTTTAAGATGACCGGCGTTGTGGTGGAGTGATGTTTAAAGGAGAAGTACAGGGAGCCCTGTTGACTTTCTACACCTTTTTGGTGTTTCACCATTTTCCAATTTTGCCTGTCAACCAACAGGTTTAACTTTTGGGAAGAACGTCTGAGCCCAGGAAATTGCTGCTTAGCATCAAGCCCAAGGACAAGGACTTGAGAGACATTTGTCAGTATCCCTTGACAACTCAGAGAGGCTTTGATTTGATCGCCTTCTAGTTTTGTACGAGTTTTGGATGCCAAATGCTCGGACCCATGGCGTGCTATGCAGCTATGAGGCCGATTTCTTTTGGCATGTGGGCATGCCGGGCAGCGTGCCTCTTGCCTTTCTCCGGCAAAAGCGCGTGTCTCTCTCAATGCACTGGCACGACGCCTGGGGCCGCACGAACGGGTGGTTCCCTGTTGTCTTCCCTTCAAAGGCCCCCACTCACCCGCCTTCTGCTCAGGCGGATTCCTTCATGACTCAATGCAGGACGGAGCTCTGGGATGGTTTGGCGTATCTTTTTGAGAGGCCACCCTTTTCTGTCTTTCTAAAAGGGATGTTCCGGCTTTTGGCGACACGCCCATGATTTCTTGGTATAGCCCCGTGACTTGCAGTGCGGGTCGTTTCCAGGAGAGAGGATGGCCTGCTTTGGAGTCTTGGCTGAGGGCCATGGCCACTGGAGCCACGGCCACTGGGCTCCCGTCGGATGCTCGCGCCCAGGATTGCGGAGCACCGATTCAGCGCAGACCTCCAAGCCTGGGGTGCTCACAGGCGATGGCTTCTCGCAGCTTTTCAAAGCAGCTTGAAAAGCTAAGAAGACATTGGCCTCTTTAGCGACGATTGTGTGTGTGTGTGTGTGCGTTTGTTAGTGTACTTTTCAGAAGCATGCCGTAAAGGGCGGATTTTCGGCCCTTGAAAGGCACTGGCCGCGACCAAGCGACCGCCAGGGTGCAGACCGTCCAGCGCGCCGCCGCGCTGCGCAGGGAGAGAGAGGCCTCCTCCCTGGGGCCCAGCCGAGACGCCAGGCGCGGGTGGGGTTTTTGGGGCCCCGGGCCCAGACGAAATTTCGGGGGGGAGGTGCGAAGGGCGGAACGATTTGTGCCATCGCGTGGATCAATGAAACATGAGCGCTTTAGATTGTGAACAGGTAAAGCTGTGCAACGCAATGCAGTTCCATTGCAGCATAGCGCGATGTCATGGAAGGTAGCTGCAGCTAACCTGGAGTTGTTTTTGCTTGGCAAGGGATAGGCAGAAATTCCCCGAGTCCCCGACTACATGCCTGAGTCGGTAGCAGAGGAAGCCATGGGTTTCCAGATGGCACTTGTTTGCCACTAAGATGCCCAGAGCCATGTGCCCAGTGGAAAGATATGCACAGAGGCACACGCTCACACCAAAGACATACAGAGGCCTTGCCCGAGTCAGATCTGTAGGAGGGGTTTCTGCACAGCGGTAGATTTGTTCGTTTGGGCCAGGCCTGCGTCCGCTTTGGCAAGACCTGCTTCAGCGGGCAAGGTGTGTGTACGGGATGTCTTTGCCATGTACCCGATCATGAAGATCATCTCTGATATTCCAAAGAAACTTGCCAAAAGCTGCGGTTGTGCACAACGCTTTGCTGTTTGGATTTGGTGCCTTGTGCGTTGGCATGCAAGCGGCTCGTTGCCATCAGAGGCAACATTTGCCGAGATGTCAATCCACTCCAATTTGCTGGCGGCTCGACTGCAAGAGGTACGTGGAGCCTGCCAGCCGGATGGTTTTGCGCGAGCCGAGGAGGCAGACGCAAGAAATGGTGAGAAATCCGTGGGTGACTCCATGAGTCAGCGGGCCTGCTGAAAAAAATGTCCAGGGAAACAAGTGCCTGCAAAAGAAGAAGGCGTGCTTTCCGAAGCATTCCAAAACATTGGAACTGGGGGAGGTCACCCTGGATTTTTGTTTGGGAAGGCAAATGGAACCTTCCCCTCAAAGGGGCCACAAGCCATTTTTTCAGCGGGCCACGCTGGTATGCCCCAACAAGGGGCTGCGAGGTAGGTCGTTGAAAACGAAGCCTGCCATTATGCTTTTCCGTAAGCCCAAGAGATGCGGAGAAAAGGAAACAGTGGTTTCTTGGTGGCTGGGTGAAGACAGTGCTGCATGTGCGCGAGTCGTCGGTAGTCCCTTCCGAGGTGCGTTCCGCGACCCAGACTTTGTGAATCTCTTCCTGAGGTAATTCAGTCCCGCGCGAGCTGACACGAAAGCTGGCCATGCGAGCGTTTTCACGGTCGAGACGCATCCGGAGAAAAGTCGACAAAGGTTTTTGCGCAGTGGCGGTTGTATGTGTTTTTGAAGGGCTTTGCCTCAGGTTTGATACATGCTGGCAATTGCTGGCATGCTGAAAATGTTCACGGTTCGGCCACCTTGTGATAGCTCGTTTGGCAGGCCCGAGGGAAAAAGAAAGGGCTACTGCCGTTCCTCGGGTTGCCGAGGCTGGGTACCAGGCTCCCTTGACCAGATGCACCGGCCCTGGCGGTGTACCAGCCTCAGAGTCTTGACGTTTGACTTCTGGGTCTCATGGTGGCGGGACTTGCGCCTTAGGTCTCGGCGAACGCGTCGATGTTCGGAGTTCAGTCAACGCTGCTGGGTCCCCAGTGAAACCAGTTGTCGGAAGAGGACGCCGGCTTGGCGCTGGCATCTTTAATGTGGTTGGCTTTCGGTGAGATGGTGAAGCCATGAGTTCGCAGATGTGATGGAAGAATTCTCTGTGAGGATGCCCGTGTGACGCTTTCCCATTTTGATGTTTGTTTATATTGGGAGGTTTCCGGGGCGAGAGGCGAGGGCGTGGGTGCGAGACATCACATCCTCCCTGCGCAGGTTGCAGTTCGTCGCGCAGGAGGCGCGATCCAGGTATTCATGCGAGTGGATGAAGACACTGGCAAACCTTCCTGTTAAGGTCAAAATGCTCTTGACAGCAGGTTTGATGTGGCCTTCCGACCTGCCCTCCCCCCCCCCACCCCCCCGGCTAACCAATCCATACCTCTCCGGTCAGTGATGTGGTGAGGACTGCAATTGGAAGATAAAAGGAGGTTGTGTTTGTTTACTTCTCCAGCTGTTCGAGCGGGCCATGACAGCTGTTCGTGGCGGCTGATTTTTCGCAGATGGAAAACAGATCTGAGAATCTGGGGTTTGGGGTTGGGCATTTGGCCCAACCTTGTGCGTGCCTTTGCAGTTTGCAGCAGTGTAGTATCGGTTGAAGGCAGGCCAGAAAATGAGACTGCCTTCAATCGGTACTCTTAAGGGTACACATTGGGCGGAAAGCTTGCCAGACCAGCTCGGTTTTTTCTTTTTTTTTTCCATGTCAGGCACTCAACACACCAGTCTCCATTGAGGCGGGTTTGGGAGAGGCATGCCTGGTGTTCGCTTAGCGATGCCGGTTGGGAAGAGCAAAATGGCTGTGGGTCAAAAATAGGTACCCAAAATGGCACCCTGGTGGAAACAATGACTAAAACCTGTGGTCCCCTGGTGGTTTAATTTTGACCCATACCCAAATCAACTGGGCGCTCGACAGGAATACCTCCAGCATGTGCAGGGCCAGTCCCGCTTTGGCTTGAAGCACCGGGCTCGGTTCGGGTTGATCGGGGGACACCACGCATGTTACCCAGTTGCCAGGTGGTGCCCTTTTTTCCTTTTTTGGGAAGCGTTTCCCTTTCCAGTCAACCACCAAAGAAGGATGCCCTTTTTTCCCTATGGCCACTGGGCATCTGAGCCGCGGGCCCAATGGTTGCCAACCTCATTTCATGTGACCGGGGATGCAGGGGGGGGCCACTCAGTTTGTTCATTCTTTTTTGGAGAACATGGAATGATCCGCGGGTCATACGCTTGCACCAGCGGAGAGAGGAGCTCCTGACAGTAGCGTGCCATACTTCTGGCTTCTAGGGAGCCCAGTGCTGCCGAAGAGACTTGGGAAACACCAGCCCTATAGGCCATGTTGCGTTGCTTTTCGATGCTGCAAGGAGAAAGTCAAGAATGCAGTCAAAGGAGAGAGTGGTGCATCCTTCCGACTTGTAAATGTTGCACGGCCTTGCTCAGGCCCTGTCGTGCCTGCAGTGCTGGGTATTCTCCCGCCACCTGTGCGGTGCAGTGAGCCGCAAAGGCTCGCCCAGTTAGACTGGCAATGCCCAGGGGTATGCTCGATCCCGTGCCGAAAGTTGAAAATGACCGCAGCCAGCAGTTGGCAGTCACAACATCCAACACGCGGCTGCGTAGCATGCGCCTTGCCGCCGAAAGGCTTGCGCCGCGTTTCCAGCTGTCGCCCTTTGACGGTTGGTAGTCCGCGATTTGCCCCGCCTACGCAGCGGACAAGTCTGGGAGGCCGGGAGGCATGCAGACAAGCCTTCCACCCAGCTGGGGGAACACGCCAACCGAACAGGGAAGTTGAGCTTTTTGGGGTGCTCTGACTTGGCGCCGTTCGGAACTTTCGGGTCCGGCAGGCTCTTCTTTTGCACGAGCTGAGCAAACTCATATTTTTTGGGATCGCGTGATTCTCATGGGAATTCCGCTCGCCAAGCAAGAAGAAAAAACAGCGGATGGCCTCAGGAATGCAGGGGCCCATGTACATTTTGCCCCCTGGCCTTAGCCACGATCTGTCGGGGCACCCGGCTTTCGGACGAGATTTAGGATGCCTTTTGTCAAAACCCACCCCCAGCTATTGTTTTGTGGCACTCGTTTCCTCCTTTTTGTTTGGTGAGCTCTCCACGGTTACTTGGTCACACCCCAAAAGGGCTTCCCCACTTTTTCTACAACGGTCACTTGGCAACTGCGCAAATGTTGGCTATTTTTGCAGTGAGCTGTTGGCTGCTGGTGACGGTGTAGTCAATGCCGGCACGGCATTTCCATCCAACTCTTTCCAAGAAGCACCTGTGCATGCGGGCGATGTGCAGCCATGTGCGGTTACGGCTTTTGATGCTTGGGCAAGCCGTATGCACATAACAGGGCATACTTGACAGGCAGCGCCCATGATTGCCTGACGGATTTCTTTGCCAGGATTTGGTGCTGTTTGCCCCCCTACAATGTAGGCATACTTTCTTTGCCTGCTGTGACCCATTTGAATCTGTACCGCGGGGTCCGCCTATGCAAGTGGAGTCCAGAAGGGATATGGTACCTTTTGACCCTTGGTGGTTCACCATTGGTGATCATTCCGCGCCCGCTGTTTCATGTGGTGTTCATTTCTCGTTGTGCCACTTGGCCTTGAAGATCGCAGTCAGAACCATCAGCAGCACAAGAACAATGATTGTGCACTTGCGGCGCTGCGGCTGCTTCCGACTTTCGCAGCTCAGGTCTGTGGCTATCGGAGCACCTCCGGGACTACCTCCGCCTCCGTGCCCAGGCGGGGTTGCGACGCAAGTTTGCCCGAATGAGCGCGGGGAGTCGAGTCTTGCACTGCTGCCTGTGGCTTTTCACGTGGCGAGGAGACGTGTTGCGGGCCTTTGCCCGGGCTGCTTGGCTGGATAAGAGGAGGGGGAACGAACGGGAGGGAGAGAATAGAGAACAGAGGGGGAGATAAGACAGACAGACAGACAGACAGACAGACAGACAGACAGACAGACAGACAGACAGACAGACAGACAGACAGACAGAGAGAGAGAGAGAGAGAGAGCAGGAGAGAGAGAGAGAGAGAGAGAGAGAGAGAGAGAGAGAGGGAGTGCGAAGGGAACGAGGCTGAGAGAGGCAACCTCATCAATCGGAGCATCAAAAAAGCCAAGCTAGGCTGCAATTTCTAGCGGGATTCAATACCTGGATCATAATGCGCTGCCTGCCATGTGCCGGCTATGCATCCACACCTGCTAGCAATGCCACGGGTCTCATGACCGCTACTGTACTATCTCCCACCACTCAGCGACAACCTTTTAATTCTGCATGTCGCAGCGGTTCTCTGCACAACGTCGCATGTTTGAAACAGTAGCGTGAGAATGTGAGCAGGACAGCGTGGCCACGATAGGAGGGAGTTTGCAGTGGGGAGACATTGGGAGACATAGGGAGAGTTGGGGAGAGGCAATAGTGCGGGAGAACGAGGAAGAGATGAGAGGGAAGGATAAATCGGCATAGAGGACAAGACATGGAGCAAGGGGATCCAGGGAGGAAGGAAGAAGCAACAGCCACCAGCTGTTTCACTAATGTGGGCAGGGATCTTGAGTTGGCGGGCCAACAAGACACATGGGGCCAATTTCTTGGACCCAGCTGCTCATTTGTTCAGAGGGCTTGCGAGAAGGCAGTGCGCTGACCGCATGAGGCAGATGTTGACAGCAGGAGCCTCAGTGGCCGAAGCGACGACTCCAGCTCTCCAATCAAAAAACTCATCTGGCCTTCATGTCCCCAACCTCTGGAAGAACCGGCAAGCCGCGCAATTCCTTTGTGCAAGGCAATGGCTCACTTCATGCCGCTGCATCTGTAGCAAAATGTAAAAAGACTTGTCAGACTGTTGCCACGCACTTTGTTCAAACGTTTGTGTGTGACCAATATGCCTGCGTATGCCGAGGGAATAAACCTTTTGAAAGAAGTCTATTCAACCACATGACAAGGAACCACACAAAAAGTGGGATTTCTTTTTGGGGATGCCGGGGAAATGCTCTACAGACCCCACTGGAACCTCACCTTCACACATTTCACACCTGGAAACTTCAGCTTGAGATAATTTTTGGAAGGAACCCCCCGACCCCCCCCCCCAACTCGAAGCGGAGAGTCCTGACTTTGAACGGGGGTTTGTTGTGGTACCTTTTGTTGAGAAGTACGGCACATGGAGCTTTCAAAACCTCGGAACTTCAATTTGCCGTTTGGTTTTTGGCCTGTTGAGCCGTACAGCTCCATGTGGTTTTTGCTTTTGGGCCTAAAGACAGGTGGGAAGTCGGATTCGAGGTGTGGGGGACAGCTGCGCCGCCCCTCAGCCCTGGCGCCCGGACAGCCTGTCCACCAGGTGAGAGGGCGCGCTCCGGGGCGCCAGGGAAGGCAACCACAATGGAAGCGCGCGAGTTGTCTTCTGTTTATTTTGGCCCCTTTTTTCCCCGCAACTGGTTTCTGGGGCAACCCCAAACACCTCTTTGGTTCCGGGTTGGGCGAAAAAAGCACTTTCACTGAACCAACTTCGGCCACCTTTCAAGGGGAGCCCGAAGGAGTGTGCAAAGACTGCTGCAACCTACGGTGTCCTGGTCTGTGTGTGTGTGTGTGTCTGTGTGTCTGTGTGTCTGTGTGTCTGTCTGTCTGTCTGTCTGTCTGTCTGTCTGTCTGTCTGTCTGTCTGTCTGTCTGCCTGTCTGTCTGTCTGTCTGCCTGCCTGCCTGCCTGCCTGCCTGCCTGGCTGCCTGCCTGCCTGCCTGCCTGCCTGCCTGCCTGCCTGCCTGCCTGCCTGCCTGCCTGCCTGTCTGTCTGTCTGTCTGTCTGTCTGTCTGTCTGTCTGTCTGTCTGTCTGTCTGTCTGTTTTTCCTTCTTCTTTTTTTCGGGCTCCTGTGGGTGGTCAAAAATCGAGAACCCCCAAAATAGGGAAACACCTCGTAAATGGAAACATGCACTGCAACCTACGGTCCCGTTCTTGCTGTGACCCTTACCCATATGAGTCACAATCAACACCTGGCAGTAAAATGCTTGACCCAGAGCCAAAGGAAATACAACGGCGGATTCCCGCACGCATTTATGGCTGGGATTGTCCCTTACCTTCATCTACCCGGGTTTTGCCTGTGGCTCAGATCAATTTGGGAAACCAGCGAAACCAGCAAACACTACATTTTTTTCGCCCCACCCTGGCTCCCCCAATTTCGCAAGGACAGAAAAATCGATCCAAAGTTGGGCTGAATAAAGGGCCAACAAAACCAAAAGACACCACTACAATTTCCCAACCCCAACGAACACCACACGCATCCAATCAACAATGCCAGGCCGAGCCTCTCCGAAAGCACCAGGCAACCGGAAAGAGGGAGCCGGGGGGGCTTCAGCCAGGGACCCGGGGGCATGGGGAAAAGGACGGGGTGGGAGCCGGCTCCTTAGCTTTTGAGCCTTTTCGTGTTTAGTGGTGGGTTCCATTGAACCCACTCAAAGTTAAACTTTTAGCGGGGGATCTGAGGGTAAACAAGCTTTGAGACCTGGTGTGACATAGGACAATCTGTATGGGTCAACTGGATTACTGCGTGTGCGAGAGAGGCTCGCAAAAGACACCTGCCAGGTGCTCCACAGACGAGCCTGCAACGCCGCCTTCGCCGCCTACGCCGCCTACACCAGAATCGATAGAGCTCTTTGCTGGCGCACATGCTACTTGGTCAGACACCATGGGCCATACTGTCAGGGCACCGCAAACCTGTTACACGCGATGGGACTGCGGCTTGCTTGAGGCTGCAGCCAAGAGTTTGCTGCAATTTCTGCACGGCACTCAGCATTTGATCTGGTTTGCTCCAAGCGACACAGCAGCTTGTACTCATGGTATACGTTTCGATGGCCCCTGGTCGCAAGAAGAGGAGACATGTCCCTTTAGCCCGGGACACATCTCCTTGTACCGAAGCGGGGGTGGTCTTCCAGTTTGTTTAGAACCTAAAGGAATGGGTGCCATGCTTGGCTGGTCGGGCGCTTGCAAGAAGCCAAGCATTCGGCCAGGGGCCATCGGTTTGAAGACGCGGCCAGTGAGGACATGCAGCCATGCATGAGCGATGAACAAAGTCCACAGGGCAGTGGCTTGTGGTAGTCCACTATTTGTCCGGCAATTGCAGGGAGATCGGTTTAGGATAGCCTCCCTTAAGGGTAGCCTCTCCCCCCCTCTGCCAGGTTTATGTCCGTACTAGCATGAGGCATTCAAAGAAACCGCAGTTTGATTGGGCCCATTGAGCCGACATCCTGAAAATTACTCTTTAAATAGCGGCTTAAAGTTTAAACGGAAACCGCCCCCAAAAGTATTTTTTTAGAAGCTCTCCAATTCTTTACTTCAAGGGACTCGGTTTCATGCTTGAGATGTTTGATCTGAGCTGGAAGTGCCGTTCCCATATATCTAGTGCTGCCAGGAGGGATGGGTGACACAGCACTGGACCCGGCGCATGCGGTCTCGCAAGCGACACGGACCCGGCAATTTTCGTTGGCCACTATTGGGTCTATTTGCATAGTTTGTTGCTTGGTTCACCGGTTTTGGAAACTTAGCACTGACTGGAGAAGGTCGGCATGAGTGTTTTGCCAGTTTGGCAATTGCTTGCTGCGAACACGGTCTGAAATGCACGATGCCATTGCCGGAATCGACAAAGGACAGCTCAGGCCCGTTGCTGTTTCTTGGTGGCTCCCAGCCATCCCCTTAGCTTTTTGGTCTTTTAGTGTAGAAGTGGCAGTTTCCATTTAACCCACTAAAAGTTAAACTTTTAGCGGGGGATCCGAGGGCAGCCCAGGTTTGTAGTTGTGTACATGTCAGGAAAGCTTAGTGCTTGAACCGACGTAGCGATTTTGCATCGCTGCGCAGTGTGCAGGATGCCACCTGGCAGCGCCATGGTTTCGGTAATTGTTATCTCTTTCGTTCCTATTTTGGGAAATCCCAGCAGCTATGCCTTGCGCAGGCAGCGAGTTGGGCTGGTTCCAAGCTGCGGGATATCAATCACGACTTGAGGTGGGGCCTACAGGCTGATGAGGAGCTTCTGCCGATCCTTTGGGAGCTGGTCTCGCAGGACTCGCTTTTGATCCGTGGCGTGTTGGCGACCCGGAGACCGGAAGACTTGAGTTGCCCGAACCATTGGTGCCCTTGCTCGGTTGGTTTTGATTAGACATAGATGGGTTCCACTGCTTTAGAGTGTTGTGTCCATGCTGAACACCAAGCCGTTGTTTTGTCCGCAAGCACACCCAGGTCATGATACGAAGGGTCTTGGCCCAATTGGCATGGGGCTAAAAGTCAGGAAATGGAGCGGCTCAAGAAATGTCGTCGTTTTGCGGGGCTCTTATTTGGGGGTGTTGAGAGAAACCAAAGGAAAGCCGAGAAACCCAAAGGGACCAAGCCTTTTGAAGCGAGCGAATCCTTGAGCCCGTGACCCCGCAGGATAAGAAGAGATCCAAGGCCAGGTTGATATCTCGGGGCCAACTTCCCGACGCTTACCAAACTAGGGAAGCTGCTTATTGAAAGTGATGATTGAAAAGGATGGGGAATCCACTGAATATAGGGAAGCCACTCTTGCAAGCCGACCTGAGGTGAGATGTGAGATATGTGGAGCGTTGCTTTGACATGTGGCAGTTGGTTCAGAAAGCTCAGCTGAACCCGCGCTACGCCGCAAGCTTCGCCCGAGCTTTTTGACGTGAAAGAAGCTGTAGCATGGTGTATTGTCAAATATTCTCAAATATGCCTTTGCCGAATTTGTCGAGCCCAGCATGTGTCCCACTTGTGAAAGCCGCGCTTTATTGCATGCTTGCACCACGCAAAAGACGCCATGTAGACGCCCCTTTGGGCCCTCGCTCATGTAAGCGTCTGAAAGCACGAGTTGTCACTGTAGCGTCCGCTTGGAAGCCGATGCAGCGTTCGTGCCAGAAGGATGCGCACAGTTTCAAGCAGTTTTGCCGGAGAAGAAACAAACGCATATTAGCCAAAAGGGCGGACAACTGCGACCGTTGCAACACATGTTTATTTTTGGATCGGTGGCACATGGGCTGCAATCCGTTGAGCAGACAGAAGAAAATCAGCACGTGCATGAGCTGGACCCGTGAAGTAACCAATGCAGATTCAGAATTCGTCCACAGGCCCCTTCAGGAAGCAACGGAGCTGTTTCTGGCATTGGGTGTTTTTTGTTGTAAAGAAGCTATTCCAGAAGCTCAAGTGTTAAGCATATTTGCATCGAGCATTGTGATGCTGCTTCTTGCTGGCTGGCTTGCTTGCTTGCTTGCTTGCTTGCAAGCTTGGTTGCTTGGTTGCTTGGTTGCTTGCTTGGTTGCTTGGTTGCTTGGTTCGTTGGTTCGTTGGTTGGTTGGTTTGTGTGTTTCTTTGTTGGTGTTTTGTGTGTGTTGTTTGTGTGATTTTTGGTTGCTTGTTTGCACTTGTTTTTTTGTTTGTCTTTGAAAAGTGTTGTTTGATTGGTCGGTTGATTGATTGCCCGTTTGTTTATGTATTTGTTTGTTTGTTTGCTTGCTTGCTTGTTTGTTGTTTGTCGTCGTCGTTGTCGTCCAAGAGCTCATCCCGACAACAGGCCTCAACCAAGCCTTTCTAAGAACCAACCCTGCAGACCGTGCAAAGCGGGGAGCCACCGGCTTGTCCAAGCCTCAGGCAAAGGACAAGGTCGGCAACTGCGCGGTACACTCAGCCAGCGCATTCTCTGCTTTTGGCGGGGAAAAGGTCGTTTGGCTGTGGCTCAAAAATAGGGGCCCAAAATGGAACCCTGGCAAAAGGAAAAGTAGACGAACGCCTGCGTAACCCTAAGTCTTGAATTTTGAGCCACACCCATTTGATGCTATTTGATGCTAGATGTGCGGTTGGCTTTTGGCCTTGAGGGGAGGCCGCTTGCCGCTGAAGCGCGCTGAGGTCCGCTGGTGGGCCAAGCCGACCAGCCCTTTGCTCTGCCCTCTTTCTGGGTTCCCCACTTGCCTTCTGCGCGGCCCTCGGGAGTGAGTGAGAGAGCCCTCGGGGTGAGTGGGCATTAGCCAAGAGGGCAGCTGCAAAATGCCGGGCACCTCCAATGGCATCTTGGGATTTTTGGCACTTCCTGAAACGCGAGAGGGCAGCTTGGTCGAACGTCTTCCACGCATCGGGTTGAAATATCCGACTTTCCTTGGCCACAATCTCCGGTATTGGCGTACATGATGCCACAGTTTCTGCATTTGGCTTTGAATGTTCAGGGGCAACACTGGTGTTCCTTTGGCTCGTTCCCTTGCCGTAGGTCTAATTTTTTTGTCTTCCTGTGCGCCTTGAAATCCCAGGCCGTACCCGCCCTTCAAGCTCCGCGTTGACCCCAGCCGCGCGACGCCCCACTGCCTGGTGGACGGCAAGTTCCTCGCCTTGCGCTGCCTCCCGGCCGCAGCCGTGGCCAGCGCCCGCGGGTTCACCCCGCTCCGACCGACAGCAAGCTATCCGGGATCCGGGATCAGAAGCGCTCGCTCAAGAAGGTTTCCAGGGATTCCGGAAGATTGGGCTGGGCGACCTAAGGTATCGTCACTGGGCAGTACGCTGCCTGTGGACGAGAACTTCAGGAGGGCCAATGGATGTCGGGCTCATTCTCGGTTGCTCCCAGGCCCTGACATTGCGAGGGAGCGAGGGTCCAACCCCAGCATCGCCTCTGCGATGCGGTGCACTGCGCCTCCCTCCCCAAGAAACGGTTTTCGGAAGCCTTCTTGCATGGCTACACATGTTTGGCCCGTAAAAAGGTGCTCCCTCTCAATCCCCTCTTGCATGCCCGGGACGGCCTCTCTATCTTTGCCTCTCTAGAATGCGGCTTTTGGGACCCCCCTCTCTAGAAAGCAGTTTCTGGGAAGGTCGAATGCTGAGCGGCAACTGCATCCTTCTTTGCTCCTGGTGTCCTGCTGTGCGCAGGAGACTGACATCATCGCTCTGGATGAGTATGTTCATCGCTGCGGGGGCCTGAATCAAGCGAAGAGTAAGGCAGGGAAAGCATGGTTGTCAGTGGTTCATTAAGTACTGCGCAAAGCCTTGGCCCCATGTTTGAAGGTTGTCTTTCTATGGCCCTGGGCGAGGACGGAATCTAGAAGCAAGGTGAAGTCCTCCAGCGTTTTGCATGGGCCGAGGCAAGCTTGGCCCCTTTCGACCTAGCCGGGCATTGGATTTGCAGACCGCAGCCTCACATGGGGACCAGAAAGCGGCGGAGGACCGTTAAGCCAGGGTTGCTGAAGGACGCTTTTGCCAGGCCCGCGAGTGAGCGAAGCCAACGCCAGTGCCATCCAGAGACTGGCAATTTGGGAAGTTGGTAATTCAAGAGATGTGAAGAATATGTCAAGAGCAAGGACTCGCGCCTGAATGTGCCTGAAATTGCGTCGCCCAGCTGTTATCTCCCCAACATCAGGCACTGCGTGAGACCGCCGAGCTCCGCATGACGGGAGAGCATCCGCATGACATCCGTGCTGAACAGCTTGAGAAGGAGGTGAATGTTCAACAAGAAACAGGGTTGTGGGAAATGACCACTTCTGTGATACAACAAAAAGGGCTTCCCAAAGACTAACACCGCATATACAGGGGGTTGTATCACAGAAGTGGGAATAAACCCCTTGATCCCACAACCCTGAAACAGCAACGCGTCCAGATGTTTTGTTCATCGAGAAGGCGCGGAAGGATGCACCGCGATGTGGTTGCGCATCGACTAGGACTTGAAGCGGCTCCTGGCAGCGGCTCATGCGGAGCTGGGCAAGTTGAAGCGCATCCAGGTGTGGGAAGGTGTTGGCGGTTTTTCCATCGGAGGGGGCCCCCCAGAGTCTTCGTTGTTGTTTTCTTTCTTTTTTCCCGAAAGCATCGCGAAGGGTTCTTCCGTGCGGAGCCCTTGGACAAGTTACACAGAGCCGAGTTGCACAGAGCCAAGTTGCACAGAGCCAAGTTACATAGAGCCAAGTTACATAGAGCCAAATTACATAGAGCCAAGTTACATAGAGCCAAGTTACATAGAGCCAAGTTACATAGAGCCAAGTTACATAGAGCCAAGTTACATAACCAAGTTACATAGAACCAAGTTACATAGAGCCAAGTTACATAGAGCCAAGTTACATAATTAGAGCCAACTTACATAGAGCCAAGTTACAAAGAGCCCAGTTACATAGAGCCAAGTTACATAGAGCCAAGTTACATAGAGCCAAGTTGCATAGAGCCAAGTTACATAGAGCAAGTGGCACAGAGCCAAGTTACATAGAGCCAAGTTACATAGAGCCAAGTTGCACAGAGCCAAGTTGCACAGAGCCAAGTTACATAGAGCCAAGTTACATAGAGCCAAGTTGCACAGAGCCAAGTTGCACAGAGCCAAGTTACATCATAGAGCCAAGTTACATAGAGCCAAGTTACATAGAGCCAAGTTACATAGAGCCAGTTACATAGAGCCAAGTTACATAGAGCCAAGTTACATAGAGCCAAGTTACATAGAGCCAAGTTACATAGAGCCAAGTTACATAGAGCCAAGTACATAGAGCCAAGTTACATAGAGCCAAGTTACATAGAGCCAAGAGCCAAGTTACATAGAGCCAAGTTACAGAGCCAAGTTACATAGAGCCAAGTTACATAGAGCCAAGTTACATAGAGCCAAGTTACATAGAGCCAAGTTACATAGAGCCAAGTTACATAGAGCCAAGTTACATAGAGCCAAGTTACATAGAGCCAAGTTACATAGAGCCAAGTTACATAGAGCCAAGAGCCAAGTTACATAGAGCCAAGTTACATAGAGCCAAGTTACATAGAGCCAAGTTACATAGAGCCAAGTTGCATAGAGCCAAGTGGCACAGAGCCAAGTGACACAGAGCCAGGTGGCACAGAGCCAAGGTTAGGTAGAGCTTGCGTAGAGCTTCGGCGTAAGCAGCTATGTAGGTTAGTTTAGGTTTCTAAGGCGCCGGGGCGGGAGTTTGATCATCGTTCGGGATTGCGACCCTCTGCGGAGATTCGCGTGGTCGAGGTTCAAAAACTGAGGACTTTTTACGATTTCAGCGGTGCGCGCGCGACCCTCTGCGGAGATTCGCGTGGTCGAGGTTCAAAAACTGCAGGACTGTTTACGATTTCTGCGGTGCGCGCGCGACCCTCTGCGGAGATTCGCGTGGTCGAGGTTCAAAAACTGAGGACTTTTTACGATTTCTGCGTGCGCGCGCGACCCTCTGCGGAGATTCGCGTGGTCGAGGTTCAAAAACTGAGGACTTTTTACGATTTCTGCGGTGCGCGCGCGACCCTCTGCGGAGATTCGCGTGGTCGAGGTTCAAAAACTGAGGACTTTTTACGATTTCTGCGGTGCGCGCGCGACCCTCTGCGGAGATCGTGCGCGTCGAAGCGCTCTCTCTGTGGCGCCGTGCATTTGTCTCGCTCGCGAAACGGCCTTTGGAAGTTGTCTCGTGGTTTGCGCCTGCTTTCGCAATCCCGCGGTTGCGGGTTCGATTCCCCCTGGTCCGCGGCAGCTCCGGCTTGAAAATCGCAGCTTTTAAGTACAAACGTAGTACGCGGAGCGTGCTCCTGCAGCTCCGGCTGGAAAATCGCAACTTTTAAGTACAGACGTAGTATGCGGAGCGTGCTCCCGCAGCTCAGGCTGGAAAATCGCAACTTTTAAGTACAAACGTAGTACGCGGAGCACACCCCCGCAGCTCCGGCTGGAAATCGCAACTTTTAAGTACAAAAATAGTACGCGAAGTACATTCCCACAGCTCCGGCAGCACTTGCGCAGAGCAACTTGCGCAGAGTCACTTGCGCAGAGCAACTTGCGCAGAGCAACTTGCACAGAGCTATTGCACAAAGCACTTGCGCAGAGCAACTTGCACAGACCAACTTGCACAGAGCACATGCGCAAAGCGCTTGCACGGAGCAACTGGCGCAGAGCACTTGCGCAGAGCAACTTGCTCAGAGCACTTGCGCAGAGCAACTTGCACAGAGCATATGCGCAAAGCGCTTGCACGGAGCAACTGGCGCAGAGCAACTTGCACAGACCAACTTGCACAGAGCACATGCGCAAAGCGCTTGCGCGGAGCAACTGGCGCAGAGCACTTGCGCAGAGCAACTTGCTCAGAGCACTTGCGCAGAGCAACTTGCACAGAGCACTTGCGCGCAGCAGCTTGCAGAGAGCAACTTGCGCGCAGCAGCCTGGAACAATGCAGCTTGCGCAGACCACTTTCGTGAGAAATCGCGCGGCGCAGTTCGAGAGGAAAGTAGGATGATGAGATGGAGCTCTCATGTGACTATACACACAGAGCATCGCCGCGCGCAGACACGCTCGCCGCAGCGATGTAAAAAGGTGTCTCCGCGACTGGATGAGCACCTGTGGAAAAATGCTTTCGGGCCAATTGTCCTCTAGTTTTGTTTAACACCCTGGGAATACAGCCACTGGGTATTGAGCCCAGAAAAGGCACATGTCCGGATAGAACCGTGTTATCTTGAACCATGGGTCATGTCCCAGGGTGTAATACAAAAACCCTCAGACAATGTGGCTCCAAAGGATGCGAGTGATGGCGTCTTCAGGAGAACCGCTTCGGGCAGATCCTGCAGGACGGGGTGTTTGATCCGGGCGTCCAAGCCGCAACGTAGAGCACCCGCTCTACGTGTTGAAACGGACACCCGCAAATCACGTCAAGCAAGATGTGCAAGAGAGATGGCTGTGGGTACCATTTTGGGGTGGGTGCACCACTCGCTTTGGTGGGGATTGGGATGTTCGCTGGGGGTACGGGCTTGTGACCCATGCCCAGATGGGGGGGGCCACCGTGCCAGGAGGCGCAATGGCACGCTACGCTGAAGAGGCGACCCCGGCAAATTGCTTTGGTGATGATGCAGGGGAGGTTGGAGTAATATGCTGCGGAAGGAACTAGCTTTAGACAGATTCTCCACCCAGCATACCCATATGAACCGAATATTTGCCAGTAGCAAAAGAGGCACAAGTGCAAGTGCATCGCGCTCGCAGGTGAGAGCCGGTGAGGCGCGCGCCTCGCATCCCCGGCCGTGGAATCAGCTTCTCACAATGGGATCGGCTCTTCCCATAGCTGCCAGCCTAGCTAGCTACTAGGTCCAGTAGTGCCCTTTTACCATTTTTTGGGGGAGGCTTTTCCCCTACTAAAATAAACTTTACAAAAAGCTGGTACCCTTATTCTAAGCTCTCTACTGGAGGACCTAGGCTAGCTGCCCCCGCGGAGGTGAGGGGGCTCTTTTGGTACTCCGAAGTTTCCCGGCAGGTGCTTGTTGCAGGGAAGCTTCCGGAGCTCGGTGGCATCTGCCCTGATTTTATTTCTTGCTGCACAGGCACAATGCCACAATGAAGCCAGGGTGAGCGTGTTTGCGGGCTTTTTAAAGGAAGACCTGACGACTAAGGGAGGCCCAAGCTGCGGTAACAAGGCTGTTGACAAGAGCCGGACTGATTGTGGTTGTGCGATGGACCGTCCGAGAGACGCTTCGCCTAATTCAAGGCAAGGAGCCTTTGACAATGGCCTCCTTTAGCATGCGGTGTGTTGAAATCGGCAAAGACTCCAAGCTGCTAGCTTGCGCTGGCTCTCTTTCACAAGCTCCCACAAAAGGTTGCTGATTTTAACGCATACCCATGGTGCAGGCAGTTTTTGCCTCTCAGCCACAGATTGGCTGACGGATTGGACAGGTCTGGAAAGAGGCAGCAGGCCTTCCACCAACCTCAACTGCCCCCCCAAAGCTATTGGCTCAAGGGGGTGGTTCGAGTTGAGGGGTGTCTTGTCTCATGATCTTGGGTGAAGTTTGCCGGACCTATTCGGCCAAGGGGTAGACCCCCCAGAATTTGAGATGCGGCCAGCTGACCAAGATAAGGTGTGACACACTCTGGGGAGGCTGCGCAGGCACAGCCACAAAAAAAAAAGGGACCCGCCACCTCGACTGGGTCATGCCTTGTCTAGCCTGCCTGGTGTGAATCGGTGTGCGCACAGCAGTGATCCGTTTTCCACCAGGCACCGGGGCTTTTAATGAATTGTAACGCCCTTGCATGCAACAATCTTCCACTTTTGGGTCCCCTCCTGGCAGTGCCAATCTTTTCAGGCACTCGGAGAAATGCGCGATAGGCTTTGCAAGACCTCGCGGGATCTTGCATATGTGTCCGGAATTCATGTGGAAGTCAATAGAGGGGTGACTTTCGCCTATGGCACTCCTACTTACAATTTTGGAGGCGGAGATTGAGGCACGGAACTATTCGAAAGTGCTGCTGCACTCCATGCCCGGCCTTAAGCAGCCCTTGCCTGACGGGGCTCGTGGGAAGCTGCACAAATTGGGCAAATCCAATACTTCGCTGCAGAGGAGAATAAATAATTGATATATTTCAATTTTTAAAGAAAAAAAAGAATATTCTGCCCATTACTCATTACTATTACTTCCATCATCATCAATCCCTCCCCCCCCAAAAGAATTAAAAACCCCTTTCTATAACAAATTTTCTAAATTTCGATTTATTTTTCTATTTTTAGAACAATAATGAAATTAGATAAAAATAAATCGATAATAATTACTATTATAATTTATAAAATAGAATTGAATAATATAAAAATATATATTTTATGATTTATTATATATATATATATTATTTATATATATATATATGAAATAATATATATATATATATGTTTAAATAAAATATATTAATTGGTTTAATGTAATAGATATATATTATATTGTTATTATTATTTAGTTATATAATTTTATTGAAATATAAAATATATATTTTGATTGATATATATGTTTTTCATATTTTGCTTATTTTAGATTTTATTTGGTTATGAATTAATTTATAAGGTCTGGAATAGGGTTTGGAACTCATATACGATTTAAATTTCCATTTTATATTTTTGTTTTAGACTTTGAGTAGAAACATATTCTAGATTTTGTTATTGATTTAGATGATTATTTTTTGTTGGGTATATAAATGTAATGGTATAGATTGAAATGAAATGGAGCAAAAAGAAGAATAAAGGAATAAGAAAGAAGAACTATGAAATGAAAAAAAAGGATTTCGGTGTTGTCGAACTTGGGTTTGATTCGGTACGATACGATTTCGCCGTAGCAATTTGTTACTAAATCCACATACACGCACACTTGCGTCATGTGAATAGCTGCGTTGTTTATGTGCCCGCTACCCAAGAAATCTTTAAGGATACTATGTGCTAGAGCTTTGGAGATAAAGAAATCTTTGAATGATATTTTGCATCGGCTTGCATATCGCTGGACATCGGCTTACGCCTCCCAGATTTATGCATGTGACGGGCTTGATTACAGCGCATCGGTGTCCTAATGACGCTAGATAACGGGGAGGTGATTCCGTGTAACCCTGGTCGCTTCATCTATCCATCTACCCATCCACTGGACTCTATACATGTCTTCCCAGAGGTCCGGAACAACCGACCGTGCATATCTGATTCGTTCCAGACGTCCGCGTCATCGCGGAACGTTCCACACCAGAATATTGACCCACACCCATTTTATGAATTATTATAATAATTAAAAAAATAAAATGAATTTAGATTTCTTGGGTATGAAATATTGTAGAAATATCTTAATATATATTATATATAAATATATAAATATTAATATTATTATTATTTATATTTAACTAACACATAATTATTATGTACATTTATGAAAAATAATTAACTTATTTTAATTATATTTGAATATTAAAATATATATTGGGAATAAAAAATCGAAAATTCTTGAACACCCAAAAACATCGGTTAGAAATTTAAATTTTACCGTTTTTTTTTAATAATATATTTATAAATGTATTATTATAAATAAATATATTGTATTATAAAAATTATCATATTATATATTAAAATATATATTAAAATTTTATATATAATATAAATTATAGAATTTAATATATATTTTTTTATATATTATTATATATATTATTCTAACAACAATATATTAAATAAATTAATTGTAAAATATATTATTATAGATTAGAATTAATCGATATATTTATCGAGAATAACAAATAAATGATACCAATAATTCCAATCTATCTTCTTTAAAATAAATCTCCAAAATCACCTATGTATACGAAGGTCGTGTCCCGATGCCTTTGACATACCAAATAATAATTTCTTTATAATTAAAATTCAAATTGGATTTATATAATTCCAAAATATAAAATATATATTATATCCACCATAAAAAAAAATAAGCAAACATCGTTCTTTATTAATATCCAATCCATTTATATTTTTCCAAATCAGAGGTTCATACCCAAAATTTTGAGCCATATATCGATTCTTAAATCATATTCTATATATATATATTTAGTATATTCATATATTTCGGCAAATAATGTTTATATCATCATTGCCAATATAGGAAAAAAATATATAATCATTATATTTAAAAAATACACCCAAAAATTGCTATTTATCATCACTCCCAACACAAATCCTAAATTAAAACCTAAATTAATCATCTATTTCTAAAATAACAAAAAATACATAAATATATATATCCCAATATATCCATTTATTCCATCAAAACCCCAATCATCTTAAAATACATAATCATAAAAATAATATTAATTAAAATAAATAATTTATCAATCAATATATTTAAATATGTTTAAAATTAATATTCATTATTATATATATTACATTCTATAATTTATTTAATTCTTTAAACATACATAAACCAATTCACAATATATATATATAATATCTATATATACATATAATTTTATATAAATAATAGAACCAATTATATTATTTATATATATTTAATATACCCTTTTATTTAAATTCAATTAAATTACATTATCAATATATATATATATATGATATATTTAAAAAGTTATACTTTAATATTTATTTATAATAAATAATATATTATATATGTATATATTATTTATATTCTGTATATCTACATATTTTATAATATATATTTCAATTATATCAATTCAATTTAACTATGAATTCGATTATTGCATATATGTCCTCCTCAATTCGCCTTGCACATCTATTTCCTTTCATCAAATTCAATGATGATATTCTGAATGAAACTCGTATCCATTTTAACAGTCCTTTTTTTTTCTCGGAGTGGCCAATCTCGGAAGAGTCGATTGCATGGCCCCCCAAAATGCTTCTTACGGCACTTGGTTTCAGCCGTTCCAATGGCGGCTGTCCCATCCTCTTTCGCCAGGCCTAGCTGACCGGATTGAAGGGGCAAGCCTCCAGGTGTCTGATCCTTGGCTGACCTCTCTCTCCAGCGCGGCAATCAGAAGAGTTCTTCTAGTAGGGAGGTTAGGATAAGGGTACCCGATTTTTTTTTCTGCAGTCTATTTTGGTAGGGGATGCCTCTCCCAAAAAAGGCCTCCAAAAAAGGGTGAGAAAGGGCACTCTGGCAAGCAAAGAGCTCTGCTCGTGGCCAGGGGCACAAACGTAACTTGCCAAGATGCTGATTGCCTTCCTTCAGGCAGGCTCGTCCGAAGAGATAAGCCAAGTCCGCAGCGGAATTCTTCACGCCAGCCAGGCATTTCCTCATGTCTGCAAATGCAGGGGCAAACAATGCAATGACTTCATGAGAACTGAGCCTTGGTTTTCTTCCCTACAAACTTGGTTGGTCTTCCCTAGAAACTTGATTGGACATTATTCAACCATTGGCAAACTTCCGCGGCACATGCTTGTCAGCGTCTGCTTTCACAAACCTTCAGCGGCGCATGGTTTACGAGACTTGCTTCCGCGAGTATTGGCACAGAAAGGAAAGCAAGGAAAATGATGCTTCGCCGCAGTCTGTGTAGGCTTGGGCTCCATTGGGCTACCCGTGCTACGTCAAACACAGGGCCACCCTTCTGCGTGGCTTTTGCGAACCTTGTGCGAAATCCGTCGGCTGTTTTGGTCGTCTTGGCTTGCTGCTGGCAACTGCTCTTCTAGAAAGCGTTGCGCTTCTTGCACGCAGCAACACCTTTCTGCTTCTACTGCAATCGTTTCTCCATGCTTCTCCACTGAAACAGTTAATTTCATATCAATCACGAAGCTTCTGCAAACGTTCGAAAGATGTCGAAGCCTTCCGCATGCTTCCGCGCGTGTGGCGCGGAGCAATGTCCCTCTCCCTACAAAATTATCGTGCGGGGAACAAACACCGCTCAACTGATCGTACCGGCACAGCCTCATGAATGGGCAGGCTTGCAAAATCAAATTGCAGGCATGCACGTGTCTGAGCGTGAATGCTGCATTTACCAGCTACACTTGCACAACCACGCCTTGCGCGATCCCAAATGACCAACCAGGGCTCATGTAGTGATGCCGCGCATACTCTCGCGCACTGATCGGCTGGCAGTCTGCTGCGCTCTTGTACTTCGCCTTCTCCGTGACGTAAGGCGTGTGCAGCAAGGCGGGGAGTTCCTTAGATGCCGGAACAAGGCGCTCGCTGAGATGCACCGACTAAACCCCCAAATTGTGTTTTTCTTTTTGATACCCCTTAAAACCTGCCAGAACAGCGACCTCAAATAAAAACACGTCCACACACACACACACGCACGTGTAATTGCAAAGTTACTACAGAACAACCAGGTGCAAACAGACAATTCTTCCAACCTGCATGA